GTATCATAAATCCCTGTATATTTTACATAAACTACTAAACCATTCAGTATTCCATTTTTACATCCATCAAAAATTATTTACAGTGTTGAATTTATCTTAATGCTGCCAACATTTTCAAGTGTACACATTTCCCCCCATATATTCAACAAACATTTTCCAATCTTCTCTAAACGTATGTTCTTCTTGTTCTCTTATTCTATATGTTAAGTCTGCAAGCTGCGCGTATTCCATCAGTTTAAGCTGCCATTCTTCTTTAGTTGGGACCTCTCTCATTTTCCATTTTTTGGCTAACAAAACACGGGTTGCAGTAATGGCATACATAAATAATCTTTTTTTGAGTTTCCGTCTGAGTTATTCCCAACAAAAAGGACTCTAGTGTTGTTGGTTTTTTTTGAAAAGTATTTCTAAACATCCCCCCCCCCAATTCATTATGGATTATTTCCCAATACCCTTTTACCCTTTTCTTGATTTTTCTTTCTGTAAGCCCCTTTGAGGTTGTTTTTTTAAAAACAATTATTACAATCAAGCAATGTATAGATTTTATGAACTAAATAAATAAATAAACAAGGAATGCTGGAGAGGGCCTTCTCGGTGGCTGCTCTCAGACTTTGCATCTTCCTTCCTAGAAAAGTTAAAACTAGCTCCCTCCTTGTTGTGCTTCTGCTGGCAGGTGGAGACTTTCTTGTTCCAATGGGCTTTGGGGAATATGTTTTTAGCAGTTCTTTTTTACCTGTAAGCTGCCTTGAGTGCTGTCAGGGGAAAATGAGGGGTGGCATCATCATTGTCAGGGGACTGCCATCGGAACAGGGAAGGGAGGCAGGGGACTACAGAGAGCCTCTGACGCTTCTGAGGAGCAGCTCCTTGTCCAGCAGTGGGGAAAGTCACACCTCCAGTGGAGCAGAGGGAGAAGGGGGTAGCCAGGTGAGGGGAGGGCTCAAATATGTTACTGAGAGCCCAAGCGCCTCACCTAGCCTGGCTGGCCAAGAAACAGACATACTGTTTCCGTCGCCCAGCTTGTGCAGAGGGGTGAAACGTAAGGAGGGGAGGTGGAGATTTGGGGTGTCTAAGTTGGGGAAAAAACTGGAAGGGGCCACTCCTGGAATCTGCTAGTGACAAAGATGGTCATGAACTTTGGGGTTCTGCACTGTAAATAGTTTGCACCAATAAAACCTTTAAAAGACAGGTCGGAGTCCTGCCTGGTTACTCACGAGCAACCACCACCAGCATCTGACAATCATCATCATCATCATGCTTTAAAAGGTTCTCCACGCATGCCCTCAGAGGACCATGATTCTATCTCCCCTCTGAGCTGACCAAGTGAATGCCTAGGTCCAAAGCTGCCCTTGTGCTTTTTGCATAATGTGGTCCACATTTAAGGCTTGATGTTCAAAGCACACCAGGTCAGTTTAAGTTAGAAGATTCACTGGCAGATATACCAAACTCCACCACACCCACACCCCCGCCTCCCAGGAAGGAGACCAAGGTGGGCTTGGGAAATGACAGCATCAAAGCCAGGGAAAGCAAGAATTGTTGGTTGAAACAAAACAGTGTCAATAGTGCCAATAATGCAGGCAAGTGCAGATGGGAAAGATTAATGGTAGAAGACAGTGCTGCATGAAGGTTAAAGGATTTCTGTTCTTTTCAATTCAAGGAAGGAACAAGGGGGAGGCGGGGAAGAAAGGAAAAGAATCTTGATCTCCTGAGCCTTTCATAGTATTGCAGCCACTAGTGCAGGGGTCTGCAACCTTTAAGACAAAAAGAGCCACTTGGACCCGTTTCCGAAGAAGAAAAAAAAACTGGGAGCCGCAAAACTCGTCATTATAAAAATAAGTTTTTGTCACTTTTTTATTATTTCTTTGTTTGACCCCTCAGAATTACTCCTCCTCATAGAAATAAACGTTAAATTAACAAGTTACCTTTTTTTGTGTGTGCGTTCTTCACTCCCCTTCAAAACAGTGACCAGCGTACATGCCCCCTTTCAATGCAGTGACCAGCGTACATGCCCCTTACAATGTAGCGGGCGGGCGGGCGGGAAGGTGACGTCGGGACGGTGCGTGACTAACGCACGCACTGCCCCCATGCGACGTCACAGCCAGTACAGTGCCCGCCACAGTGGGGAGTGTCGGGCGCACAATGCGCCTCCTCCCCTCGCTAGTATCCGACCCGGAGCCGCTGCAAAGGTGTAAAAGAGCCACATGCGGCTCCGGAGCCGCGGGTTGCAGACCCCTGCACTAGTGGGATGGAATGTATCACCACATTTAGGACACTCATAATGCAACTAGGGAAGTGCAAATCTAACAATTTGGCTTTCTCATTTTTCCACTATTCAGTTTTCAACATATCCACATTTTGCAATTTTTTATTAAAGCCTCATGAAAATCCCTCAGCATTTTACTGTGAATTTCCACTGATAACAAACATTTCCATTTGCAGTTTTCCCTCCTGCAATGCACTTTTGTAAGTTATGTTCACTAATAAATGCATCTATATTTATTATTATTATTTATTCAACTTATACACCGCCCTGTACCCGGAGGTCTCAGGGCAGTTCACAACAAGACCACAACATATAAAAACAAACCAAAAGCAGTAACCCAATAACACCCCCCCCATTTATTTTTGTGCACATTGCTTGGCGAGAGAACTGCATTGAAAATTCAGAGAAGTGCAAAGTATGACTGCTGGCTGTGTTTTGGTGAGCGTATAGCTTTAGAAAGTGTGAAATGGGTAAGTCCACCTTTAAATGTGAACTGCATCGAATTTCCTCCCCATCCCTAAATGGCGCTGCTCATTTGTAAAACTTATTGAGTGCAAAACGTACTTCATAACCCTGATCAAACTCAGTTAACCTCTCTCATCCATCACACCTTGTTTCAATTTGGGGCTATTATAAGATTAAGTAACAAGGTGGCCTTGCAGCTATTCCAGGAGGGAATTCTTTATAATGTTCCAGGAGATTGTGGATCTGCTCTGCCCTAATGCTATATCATCTGTGTAAGGAAGAGCAGAGCACTTAATCAAAGAGGAAACATTTTTAAACAAGGGACAAGGTTGGACTGAGGGGCCATTTCCTATACCATTGGAAAAAAATATAATATATAGAGGGACCCAGGTCTCGAAAGAAGTGGAACTATATAGGAGTATATATTCTGGGTCTTCATGGAAGCAATGTTGTCTACATAATATATTTCAGAGCTGTTGCTACATACCTTATACTTTTCTTGGTATTTTGCTCAGGGTTTTGTCCGTCTGTCTGTGCATTGCATATGGGAATGGAGGAGAAATTCATTTCACATTTAAAGGCAAACCTACTTCATTCACACTTTCCAAAACAAGATGCAAACTGAAAGGCAGACATCCTTCAAAATTCACACAACCTCTGCAACCTTTCCTCCTGATACAAATAGCAGACCTAAGGCTCCAAGTCTGGATCAGAACCACAGTAAGGGCAACTGGTTAAAGAGCTCCTTCCCAACACCAGCATCTTCATTCAACTCCTCTTCCTGCACCTGCCACTAACCTATTTCTAAACAAACACACACAATTCCTAAGTGAGTGGCCCTTAAATAGGCTCTTTCTCATGCAGCTCCCAAGGATGGGGTTGTTGCAGAAATGGGGAATAAATTTGATGCAGTTCATACTGGAAAGCAAACCTCCATAATTCACAGTTTCTGAAACAATAGGAGAACTGAAATACAGTGGTACATCTGGTTGTGAAAAGGATCCATTCTGGAGGCCCGTTGGCAACATGAAAAGAGCACAACCCTCAGTGGCGCATCTATGCATGCGCGGATTTCGATTTGGCGCTTCTGCGCATGCGCGAGCGGTGAAACCCGGAAGTAACCGGAAGTAACCAGAAAGGCCACCGCGGGACGTAACCTGAAAGAACGTAACATGATGCAAGCAACGCTAGTGGGGTTTCAAGAAGCACTGTAAAACTTTAAGAGGTATTGCTGAAAGAAAATAGAAAGGGGAGGGAAGACAAATGGCAATGCAATTAAAGGAATGCGTACTGAAGGGTAAAAATGGATGATTACCAGAGAAGTGGAAGGAAGTCCAAAATTTGTATTTTGTTAAAATCAGGTAAAATTTGGATAAAATTGTATGAGTATATTGAAAACTAATAAAAATTTATTATATAAAAAAAGAAAGAACGTAACATGAAGCAAACGTAACATGAGGTATGACTGTACAGCCATCCTTAAAAATAAACAAACAAACAAACAAACAAACAACTTCCCTTTTCTGAATTTTGCAATGCAGTTCTCTCGCCAAGTAATGGTCACACAGCTGCTCAGAGAGCAGCCCGAGGTACCTACCAAGTATGTGGAATTTGGCCAAGAAAGCTTTTGAACGATCAAAGCCCTAGCAGTAGAAAGCTAATTTTCTGTTTCTACTGGTTTTTCTTTTTTATTTGCCATATTTATTCCTCCCATTTATATGCCCCTTCATAGCCTGCACTCTTGAAGCGGTTTACATTAGAACTTAATTAAAAACCATAAACCAAGGTATACAACAATCATGGGGGGAGGACCTGCAATAAAATCAGGGCAGGAATGAAACAGAGACAGTAAAAAGAGTAGATTGGTAAACACAAGTGAATTACAGTCCTATTTTTTTTTCTTCCAGTGGATGTCTAGAAGAGATAAGATTTTGGCCTCATGAAGCAGCAGAATGAGGTGGGCACAGACTGCTATTCATCACAGCCCAGCCCTGACAGGGATCTAGAACGTTTCTCCCTGCGTTGCTAATCTTTATTTCCACGGAGTTTAAAAAAGAAAGCTCAAGGACCCTTAAAAATAGCACTACCTCTTCATTGGAGCACTGTTCGTTATTCCCCGTGTTATAGATTCTTTTTTGATATATATATATCATTTGATTATTGCATTTATATCCTGCCTTTTCCCCTTCGAGGAGCTGAAAGTGGTATGCATTGTTTTCCTCCTCATTTAACTCCCACAACAACCCTGTGGGGTAGGTCAGGCACCGAGCAAGCTTAATGGCTGAGCAGGGATTTGAACCCTGATGCTTTTGGATTATGGTGCTGGAGGAGACTCTTGAGAGTCCCATGGACTGCAAGAAGATCAAACCTATGCATTCTGAAGGAGATCAGCCCTGAGTGCTCACTGGAAGGACAGATCGTGAAGCTGAGGCTCCAATACTTTGGCCACCTCATGAGAAGAGAAGACTCCCTGGAAAAGACCCTGATGTTGGGAAAGATGGAGGGCACAAGGAGAAGGGGACGGCAGAGGACGAGATGGTTGGACAGTGTTCTCAAAGCTACCAGCATGAGTTTGACCAAACTGCAGGAGGCAGTGGAAGACAGGAGTGCCTGGCGTGCTCTGGTCCATGGGGTCACGAAGAGTTGGACACGACTAAATGACTAAACAACAACAACTCCCAGGTCCTAGTCCAACATTCTAACCACCAAACCACACTGGCTCCCAGAAATTCAGGCCTTTAGTGTCTCCAGTCCCATGTTGTGGAATTCTCTCCTAATGGAGATCCACCAGGCTTCCTCGCTGTTGGCTTTCTTTGAAAGACCCCTTTATGCCAATGGGTCTGTACAGCTGTTTAAATGTTAATTAGCTGCTCGATTAGTCAGTAATTTTAATGATTTTGCATTATGCTCATGGTGTTTTATGCATTATTCTATATTAGCAGCCTTGTGCCCAGTGCTGCTCTGGAATTCTAAGAAACGAAAAACATCAAGGCAGTTCTGAAATCAGTGGTTGGAATCACTGTTTTTTTTTTAAAAAAAGATTCTGTCCACCATCTTGGTTCAAGATGGCACCTATTGTTCCCAAACATAGAGGAAACCTTGTTCCTGGATCCCGGGAACCATTGTGCAGAATTTATCTAAAATCAGAGCATTTTTGAAAGGTTCCATCCACCATCTTGATTCAAAAGGACACCCTACTTCATCCAAATATAGGTGAAGACTTGTACCTTGGTCTCAGGAATCATCATGCAAGATTTGGTTACAATATCTTAAGAGGTGTCCAAATGTGTATTGAAGAGAGGTGGAACCTTGAGATTTTAGATGAGCTGTCAGCATATAAAATAAATACATACATAGATATAAACTTTGAAGTTGTGCTCGTTCACCTCAGGGTTCCATTCCCTCATTTTCCTGCATGGATGGACCTGGTCTTTGCCTGCCTCCTTAGCAAGAACAGGCAAGCCCGTTTCTAGGAGGAGACTCAAAACTTAGGCAGACAAAGGTTCCTGGCCCCTGTTGTAAAGGCTGGGTGTAAGAAGTCACAGGTGTTTTATCACCTTCCGATTTGATAAATTTGAAGGGAGAGAGTGGCTACCCTGGAAGACTGAAGCCAGTCCATTTGTGGCATATAAGATGAAAGACAAACAAGCAAACCCAGCTCCCATGCTTCCTCGATAACAGTTCCAGGATGTGCATGGAGATTTGTGATAGATGCAAATAGTGATGGTGAAAACTGGGAGTGGAAAGTCAAGAGGCATGGGGAATAAATTCGATTCACTTCACACACAAAGGAGAACCTACCCGATTTGCACCTTCCGAAACAATGTGTAGACCAAAATATATGCATCCTTGGAAACTGGGACTTTTCTTAGTTTTGCAATGCGGTTCTTCAGTAGCAATGTGTACAAAAATGCACGTGGCAGGTTAATGTGTTCATAAAAATGAATATATTAGTGAAAATAACATTCGAAAGACATCCTATTAGGGGAAAATGTCTTCACAAATATGCAAAATTGCATACATGTAGGTTTTAAAACCCATCTTAATTTTTGTAATTTTACTTTGCTTTTCACTGTTTTTAATACAGTATGATTACATCTTGCACAGGAGTTATGTTCCAGGCATGGCATGTGTACTCAAACCACCCCCTTGGGTGCCTCCTGCAAGCACCCTTACCTTTCTGGAGTCATGTGGAGAATGACGCTTGCCCTCCTCCCCTAAGCCTTGCTTACTGGGCTCTGGGATGCCCTTGCGAGATCTTGTGGGGCCATCTGAGTTCCTGTGAGATCTCATGAGGGTATCCCAGAGCCTGCGAGAGAGTGTTCCAGAGACTGGTAAGCAAGGCAGGGCTTAAAAGCCCTTTTTGCAGCAGGAAAACCCTACACAAAAGAGCTTTTAAGATTTCTGCCCGTTTAATTTAGTTCGATTTCAACTGGCCGACCTTTAATTGTGTACGGTTGAAGTCAGGCCTAAGCAGAGTTTGTCTGAGGGTGGGAGTCTTGTTAGAATAAAGTGATAAACTCAAACAAAAAAGCAGTTGGTCTTTGGTGGGGGACTCGGGTCGGCTTAGCCCTCCGAGGGCCAGAGCAACCATACCTGGCTGTCCCCAACCACAGCTTGGGCCTAGTTGAAATCACACAAGTTAGATGTTTATAAGATGTGATTGTACTGTCTTATGTTTCAGCTGTTGTAACCTGCACATGAACCTTGGGGGTGAAGGATGGGTAATACATTCAAATACCGGTAATAATAATAATAATAATAATAATAATACACATTGTAAGCATTCCACAGGGACTTGTAATGAATAAATAAACAATTAACTCAAAGTGTCATTGGCAAACTTTCCCTTCTCCCTTCCCAACCTCCACTGCGTCCCATTTCATTCAGTCTCATTTTTCATGGAGCACAAGGATTCATTTGCTAAGGCTTGATATGTACATAAACCAAGTGATAAAGTGGCTGTTTAATGACACTATGGTCCTTCCGATGTTCACAGTCGTCAGCACAGCATCGGTCCTACCATCAATCAAGAATGAACCAACCACTGTGATGAATGCTGGCATCTATCTAAAGCAGTATGTTTCCATAAAATGGCCATTCCGTCATGGTATGTGGGTTTTTACCTTTCTCAAATATTTCTTCCTTTCTTCCCTTTTTAATAGCAGAGGTGAGAAGAACAAGAGTCATTTTGCAATTGCTGGGAAAGAGATTTGATGCAAACATGCAGGTTGGGCTCATTGACGGAAGCATCAGCGTGACGTGCATGAGCCATGATGGATTTATCACCACAAGTCAAATGTCCACATCACCCACCATAACACAAGTGATCAGTAGTGCATTGCCCTTGTGATGGTGGAGACTCCCATCTGATATGCTGAGTTGGTGAGATATAGCAGAGTGTGCTCAAAATTCTTGGGGAGCAAACAGGAAGAGATATAGCTCAGTGGAAGAGTATCTGCTATGCAGGTTCAATCCCCGTCATTTGCAGGTAGGACTGGGAGAGATCTCTGCCTAAAACCATAAAGAGCTGCTGCCAGTCAGTGTAGGCAATGCTGAGCTGGGTGAACCCAGAGCCGTCTTTCCCATAGGGCTTAGTGGCTCATAGCGCCAGGGCGCTGGCCTCTCAGGGGCGCCCCAGCGAGTGGGGGAGCTGCGTGGCTTTGCCGGTGGCCTCCCCTTTCCCTGCATGCCACCAGCCTTCTTTCCTTCCTACCCTCCACGGTCCGCCACCCTCTGTGGGCGGATGCATTGTTTCTGCTGCTGCTGCTTGTACTGCTCTCACAAGCGCTCTGGGGCAGCGGCGCAGGCTGCGTTGAATGAGGAGCCGCTCCTCGATTCTGAGGCGGCAGCCAAGGATGGGTCGCCTCCTCCTCCTTCTCCTCTCCCTTGGCTGCAGGAATCCCCTCAACCGCTGCTCGGCGAGCCGCTGTCATCAACCTCTGAGGAAGCGGCAGGAGCGGCGGTGGCAGGAGCGGCTCCCAAGGGGCCTCCTCTGTGTCACCGGTGCCCACTACCCCACCACCACCACCACTACTCCCTGGGGCACAGGAGGCGGCGTGGCAACTGCCTCCTACTCCTCAGGCCCTCGGACCACTGGGCAGCAGTGAGAGCACTGGCAGCGGGCTGTCATTGTCAGGCAGCGGAGGAGGAGGAGGCGCCCTGGAGCCTCGCAAGTGAGCATGGGGTTCCAGTGGTCTGGCCAGCATCCACCACATTGGCTGCATCTTCTGTAGGCGGCAGCTCCCGGGGCTACAAAGTGGTCTGCGAGTTGGGACCCGAGTTCTAAATTCTGGGAAAGGGAGAGGGCACCAGAAGGAATCTTTCCACCACAGCGCTGGATATGCTTAAGACGGCCTTGGGTGAACCAATAGTTTGACTCAGTGGAAGGCAGCTTTCTATGTTCCAATGCACTGGGTATGCCTGCATCTATTTGTCTATGTTTAAGGGGAATTCTGGAGGACTAGGCAAGCTTTGGACCCTTTTTGTCTCTGTCTCTGTCTCTTCCAAGAAGGCCTTTGAAATACTGGTACATACCCAAATTTTGGCCATATCAACATTGGTGTTCTGGTGTTGGTTGGTACAACATTTCAAGAACATCAGTAGTGGTGGGGAGGGGGAATCCAAAACCACATCTTTGGAGATGGGCCATAGCTCAGTGGTATCTGCTTTGTGTGCAGAAGATCCCATGTTCAATCTCATGCTGTCAGAGGAGCTAAATTGCAGCTAGGAAGCCAAATCATAACTGGTTCTTTTCTTGAAATTAAAACAGTGTCCAAACACTGGGGAGCATTCCAGAATTAAACACATAGTAATACATTTAACCATTCCCAACTTCCCAAATTCAGTAAACTAAATCACCATGCTTAACATCCCAGGCATCACCAAGTAGGACTGGGCGAGGCTTCTGTCTGAAACCCTAGAGAACTGCTGCCAGTCTGTGTGGACAATATAGAGCTGGATGTACCAATGGTCTGATTATAGGAAACGAAAGAAACAGACATGCAGAATGGTCACCTGACAAGTAGGCAATAAAAACAGCACATCATTTTCAAATGAAGGTTTGATGAACTAACCAAGTCCATGCCTAAAACAAAGTGGCCAGTGGGGATTGCTTGCCTTCTCTTTGCAAAACATTCCCTGCTATAGAGCACGAATCCCATGAGCGTGGAATGCAAAGCTTGTTCTCTGCACGACATCCTTTGCAATGTCTTTGCACCCACCCCAAATTCCACTGGATTTTCTGAACCTTGGCCTTGGAGGCTCAGCTCATTTGAGCACAAAAGCAGCCTCAACTGTCCATCTTCCAGCTGTCAGCTTCAGGAGAGCAGCAGTCAATTTGTTATTCTCTGCTAAGTGCTCCTGAATTCTGTGATATTCCTGGGCAAAGAGTCCGAGATGACAGGTGCAAGACCCTGCAGTTGTCAATATTGTTTTGGCATTCAATGGATATTTGCTGACATGTTTGAATAGCTGTTGAACCTTAGGTTAAATCCTGCTCAGGGGGGCTGTGGGGATTGCAATCCATCAAGCTGAAGCAATTTGGATAAGAGAAGGCAGAAGGAAGCAGTTCTGACCATGAGAAGCCAGGTAGTCTAAGGCAGTTTCCACTGGAGATTCAATCCCCTTGTCTGCAGTCATGGAATTGTTGTCTATCACATGACGGTGTATGTTTTCATTCCACAGAGTGGGAAGTGACGGAGACAGGATATTTGTGTTA